CAAACTCATTGCAACTAGAACTCCACAAAACCAAATAACAGTTTTTATTATTCATTTATCTTTAACTGTCACTGGCACCGTGGAGTTTATTGTGCTTTAAACTAAACATATTAAGTTCTTAGGAAATAACTTAGGCTGGTCATCCCTGGGACAGGACAGACTTTAAGAAAGTTCCTTAAACTGAAATAAAGTAGCATATAAACTATTATACATTTGCTAAGGTTAATATTGATGTCTAATTTAGTGTGATAAGACTTCAAGATAAGACAGTTATACATCTCCTGAGAGTTAAGCAGTTGTTCACTCAAGACAGTCTGCTATGACCATCAGAGAAGTTGCCAATTAACAGAGTTCAAATTAACTGTGGTAATGTACTTTTTTCAAAACCCCAAATCTTCCTTTAAAATGTCTGCAACAGTGGGACAGAAACAAATCTATTAAAATGTGTTAATTACGAGATAAAAACAAATGCCTTTTCAATAAGACTTTTTTTAGTTTCAGGTTCTGAATCTGCAGGGTGTTATGACAATTGTAATTAAATTACATGTGCCTATTTCACACATTTTCTCTACACAATGCCTAATAAAGAAAACGACAAGCTAAATATGTGTTAATACTGCTACTTTATTTAACATATGTGATATTTCCAGATGGTTAATGACAATTTATCATTGTTATTGTGTGAAAAGGTGTGAAATTAAACTTCACACCTGAAACAGCAATGGATTGTAAGTTTCTATTAAAACTGTTTAAGTGACACCTGTCGGCATCAAGCAAGGGGGCAATATCACCGAGAAACATTGAAACAAACAGACTGCCCTGTTTAAAGGGAATAAAAACAGCTATTTGTAAAATTGTGAGCCATAAATTAGTATTTTATTAATTACAAGAAGATAAATGGTGATTGATGTACTTGTGAATATAAAAAAAGATAATAATGAGTTGCTCTATGGTCATGATGAAGATGATGAAAGTCAGTTTTTCTTCCATAACTTGAAATAATGATGATAATAAAGTTTGGGTGCTCAGCAATCTGCAGTATATTATCTACAGTATGTACTACAATACTGAGAAAAAAGTTGTGAACCCCAGATAAATCTGGTAACTTCCATCATTTTACCTTCTTTACATTCTACATTCATAATTACCTATTTTAACCAAAACCTGTCATTATAGGGTGTATAGTAACCATGTATCCATGTCTCTTGAAACAAAACGATGTATGCATTAGACAAACAATGAGTAATAAAAAGGTACAGCAGAAAAAGCTAGTTTCAATAGCTCAATTAAGGGAATAATTAGAATTAGCTGTTTAAGTTTACGGTCATACCTGAATACAATTAAATGCTTACTTGCGTGTTATCCTCTCAGATGACATAACACTGACATAGAAAATGACATCATAATTACGTAGCCCTTAGGGACTATGTTTGGAAGTTCCCACCTAATATAAAAATCAGAAATGTTGTGAGCTTGGTCTTTACCACACAAGTGTGCGTAAACAAGAACTTCCACGATCTAAGGAAATCTGAGGACTTAGGAAAATGTTATTGATGATCATCAGTCTGTAAAGGATTGAAACACCATTTCTAAAGATCTGGGGCTCCACCAATCCACAGTCAGACAGTCTACAAGTGGGGAAATTTGAAGACCACAGTCACCCAGCACAAGTTGTCCCACCAAAATCTCTTCAAGAAGAAAACAAATAATCATCAGGTAAGTTACACAGAGTCCCAGAGTAACATCCAAGGAACTTCAGGTCACTCACATCTGGGCTAATATGAATGTTCATGACTCAACTATCAAAAAACGACTACATTAGAACGGTGTCCATGAAAGTACAGCAAGGAAAACAAACGCTGCTCGCCAAAGAACATAGAGATGATCAAAAGGGCTTTGGGGAAAAAAAGATTTCTGGACCGATGAGCAATAGGTAGAACTTTTTGGCCTCAATGGGAAATGACCAAACACTCAAGAACCTCATCCCAAATGTCAAGCAAGGTAGTGGGAGTGTGATGATTTATGGCTGCTTTGCTTGCCATCACTCACATAACCATGAATTCTGAATTGGATCAGACAATTTAGGAGGAGAATAAAAGGCCATACATCTGTGACCTGAAGCTGAACTGAAAGTGGGTCTTGCAGCAAGACCATGATTGCAACATACAAGAATGACTGCAGAAGAAATTCCCTTTTTTACAATGATCTAGACAGTAGGACTTCAAAGAATGTGACTACTCCAGTGATTTTTGTGACGCAGATAACTTTTTGTCATGCACTTAAACCTACGAGGATTCCTGGCCACCGAGCCGAAGAGTACTGGGGTAGGACCCCAATAAACATTAAAGCCTTCAACTTCACATGAAAAGAAAAATCTGTACGACATGGTTAATGATAGCAACAGTGTTAATTACAGTTTCAATTCTCTATAAAATCTCTTACCTCTGTCTACAGGCACGTGCTGCAGTTCGCCAAGGTGTATAGCCAATCGCCCCTGGAGGTAAAGGCTGTGGGACATAAGCAGTAACACAAGTAGTTCTCCCATTTGACGGTGGTCTCCGGGATCCTAAAATATACCAGTTGAGGTATAGCAAAAGTTTTTATATTGTGTTTCGATATTTTGCATAGACTTCATGTGTATCAAACGCTCATCATTTATCTTTAGGTTTAAGACTGGAATCACATCTTTTTTATTATATACATATGCAAGTTGAAGTTTAAATGGCCAGCTACAGAAAAAAGATCAGACAGGTTCCACCAATCCACTCGCCCAATGAGTCATTCATCTTTTGACTTACTGCAAGTTTTACAGTGAGCTATAGGAGAATTACAAATACGCAGAGGAGAGGCACATTCTTTACTGAGGTCTGTGCAAGCCTGCAGACTTCAAGGAAGTCTATGGGGTCGATCTGTGACTGAAAGAGTTGTGGTCGACTAATCCAAGCCTTACCCAGGCTTGCACCCAGCCAATTGTATACCAACAGCTAAGGAATCCTAGTCAGCCTGTGACATGGCCCAGGTTCAAACCTGTGATTTCTGTCATTGTGCTCAACCTGCACTCCAAGCAAGATTCTTTGCTGATTATCTTGTTATTTTACATAAAATGAAAAAGACTACAAAACAGTTTATAAGATCTAGTAAAAAATCCACTGATCAAGAAAGGACTGGTGAAGACTACTACATTAAAACTCCAGGAAGCAATATAAAAATTTTACGAACAGACATATTAAGGGTCTCAATAATGTTATAAGTTAAAGAAACTGTTTAAATCAAGCCATCAGGAGGATGAAAAAGCTAGATAACTAGTAGATTAAATTACAACGACCACTCTAATATTACTATCTTGCTTACCACATCGTCTCCAAATAACTGATGCAAAGGTGGAAAATAATACAAGAATAACATGAATGACTACATGATTTACCACGTGACAATACAGTTAAGATTTCATTTTCAAATGATTAAACTAAAAAAAAAAAACTAATGGAGGAAACAAAGAAGAATAAAAAAATCTAACCGTGCTTCAAGTCACAATGTCCCCTGTCTTGGTTCACAATGACTGAGTCAAGAGATGCAATTAAAATTAAAATCTGTTCTTTATCTACTAGAGTACCTGTCACTCTAATAGGCCACAGTACACTGAATTTCACTTATCGAACCCAAAAGAGAAAACATCAAATTAATACATGGTATTCCTAAGGATCATTAATGTACCTATTCTGATAGTCGCCTTTCCTTTCACTCCATTTCCAAGCATTATGGTTCTTTTTTGTGGTTTCTGTCTCAATGATTCCTTAGATGAGGGAGGTTGTATCCACTTGTACTACAACACAAAAAAAGACATTCAATGTTAATAAAACAAGATTCATGGCACGCATTCCATCATCATTATTATAATCACAAATATAGATTTTGCAATTGTAAATAATTTTTTAAAAAGACTGGTGATCTATCCATTTTCATTAGCATTAGATTAAAGTATTTTGGATTTTTCTTTCCTTTCGTGTAAACATCACATTTTCACTTTTAAGTACATTTTTGACAATAGCTGCTTCCTGGAGCCCCTTTAATCATAAGATACAAGACAACAATAAAGGAAGAGGAAAGGAAATTTATGACCTGCATTTTTTTCTTTTGTTAACGTGAGCGATTTAATAGCATTGAAACAGATTTGAAACAACTTTAACAAGGCTCCAAACCTAACAATCATGGCATACTTGAAGCTGTTTTCAAACAGGAATACCTTAACAGTGTACACACAGAAGGACTCAACTGAATTAAGGCACAGAATGCCAGAATATGAACAGAAGTCAATATGTTATAGACTGACAGACACATGATGGCTAAAGCATAGAATTACAGAAAAAAACTTCATGCTGGATGGAGGTTTGATAAACAGGGGATTCACTTGTCATTTCTGCAACCATCTTATATTGGCAAACTATTGTATGTCTGCAGATTAAAAACTGGAAGAACCCATGTATTAACATTCTAATTGTTGCGTATATTTTTCTATATGTTTAAACAACTACTTTGTCGTAGTTTTTCTTCTATGCAATTTACTCCTGTGGAATCACTGTAATATTTTCTTGTCCTTCCTTTATAAAATAAGTAAATGCTGATGCAGTACTTAAGTGGCATGTACTTTTGAAACCTGCACTCTCTATACACAGATGACAGATTTCTATTGTATACAAAGTGATGTGGCCAAAGCATGTTAGGCAGCAATCATGAGTCCTGTGTTGGGACACCCCTGTTGTATAGCTTAGCAAGAAACTGTGGTTCGCTCTCATTGTTTCAATTAAAAGCCAGCTGTATTAATAGGTACAAATGCAAGTCTCTTTGTTTAACAGCATGTAAATCAGTAACATTTTATCCTGTATTATGGATTTAAAAGGATTTTTTGTTTTTGATTATATATACTAATATATATTACATATATAGAATATATTCAATTAGGCAGTTGTGTCAGCATACAAAGGCTGCAAAGGAACAAGTAAAGGTCAGCCGAAGAAGGGTCCACAGCCAAAATGTTGTATTTCTTTTCTTCTGTTTTCAGCATGGAATAAACATTTACTTGTTCCTATAGAGAATATATTTGTTTGAAGATTTGTATGCAAACTTACCACATTATCTGTTCAGAAATAACAATAGGGTGGCAATTTAGCTAATAAGCTGTGGCAACACTGTATTTTTGTACATGGAATTGCAAATTGAATTCTAATCTGGTCTGAGGGACTCAGACACTACTTTCCAAATGCTCCCCTTTAGTGGAGAAAAACAAGTTCAACCTTTTTGAACACTTTTCCAAAGCTATGAACAGAAAACTACCTGCATCAAACACAGGTCAGCAATGAATGAAGGGAGGGCATAGCTATGAGTCAGAGTGAGTGGTACTTAGGTCTCCAACTTTAATAAAAATTAAACTGACAAAGGCTCCATATGAGTCATGCTTCACATTTTTTTCCTCAATTTCATATTTCATCCTACCACAAAATCTTGTCCACAGATTTCTCATCCATGGCTTTATTTTCCAAATCAATAGTTAGAGTAGATGATGAAATATACATCAATATACAATATACATTGTCTTCATCATAAAGGTAAACGTAAGGACAGTTTTGCTGCCAATATGGTAGTTTTTGCCAATTAAATCAAAATTAGTCTGTCCAACATGACATGATACAAAGACACATTTAACGAATGGTAAATTGCTAAAAAATTTCTAGAATGTGAAAGAAAAATTTAACAGGATTTTTAATATAAACTTTAAACAAGTAATTCAGACTGTCCCTACAAAAAAGGCATTCATTTTATATTGTTTACATCTTCTACCTAAACAATTTGGTATCAGAATATAAAAACAAAACTTCAATTTTTCAAGAAAAAAATTCCAATTTCTTTGATGATAAACTTAACCTAAAGAGAACCTCACCTACCTCAGGACTGGTTCCATTAGCATTCACAAGTACTCTCTCAATAATCAACTTCACTAGAGCATTATCTGATGAAAGAAAACATTCATCAATAATGGCCATTACCAGGGTGTTCTGAAATTACTGCATTAAAAAAGGTCATACATAAAACAATTGTATGTTAGACTCAGTAATATTTGTAAACAAAATCTGTGTTTAATCAAATTCTTTTTACTATTCCTTCCATAAAGGAACAGCTGATTTTCATATTTGTCACAACAGGCCTCATTTCCATGAAAGGAATTAATGGAACTTACAGTGCTTGAGAAAATCCTCAGGAAAACTCACAGTTATTTTAATCTTTTATTATTGCCATTTACAGTTTTCTTCTTCACTAATTGTAGTTTCTCACTTAAAACTCAAGTCAACTGGGTCTCATCTTAAAAAACATTCAAGCAGTTATTTTTTTTATTTGATTAAACTGAGAATAAGCATATAAGCAGAATAAGCACACTGTAAAACTATTAACTACAGTGCAAAGTTTTTATATTTTGTTGGCATCTGAACTTGCAATCATGATACTTCTGAGTAAATGTTCTTGTCGTGTAAGTTTTCTCAGATATTGAATTTCAAGCCACAGCTCACGTAGAGCTATAACGAATCAACCACAAAGATGGAAAAAAAAATAAAAAGTCATGAAGTGGAAGAGAGAGGCAGATGGTAGACATTGTCACTTTTATAGCCTCTTCACAGGTCTTGCTGACCTTTGAATTTGATTGTTACGATTTTAAAAAGTATACATTACTTATAACTCCATAAAAGATTAAATTATTAGTAAGGATTGAATACTTTTGCAAGACATTTTATATACTGTGCTGTAATAATAGCAAATAAACTAAAAGGAAACACTCACCTACAAGAGGATTTTTCCGAAGATCAAGAACGACTAAGGTTGAGTTGGAATGAAGCATATCCAGCAGTGCTTTAGCCCCAGCATTGGATATCCCACATTTCTGAAGGTCTAGAGCTGTAAAGTAACACTGAAAGCTAGAGAAACCATCCACTGCACTTTCTCTTTGACAACATCTGTACAGATATAATTTCTGACGACCCTGTTGAATTAATGAGTGGATTACAATATTTTAAATTACATTTCAATCAAAAAACCTCAAGGTGTCTTATTTGAGTTAAAAGAGGGCTGTTTATACACAGCAACCCTTACTATTAAGAGACGAACTATGGACACTTCATGGGTGTAGACTTCAAACACAAGGTTAAATACAAAAACTGATTAATTTTGACAAATAATAAGATACATCATCAGCAAACCATACAAATGTATTTAAATGTATTTTTATAGCTATTGCAGTTAAGTCTGATAGTGTGGGTTATCTGAATACATCTTACAAATACATACTACACGTAAAGTGTTTAAATATGACATCTAATACAATACTTCAATTCACATTGAAGGGCAACAAGCAGCTTCCAATTTGGGTAAATACTTTTGGAAAAAAATACTACGTTAAATAGAACAATCTACGAGCTGTTTCCCTTTTTGCATTGACGACACTCATCACTATGACCTTTTTCATAGGTAACGCCAGGTGGGAAATTCGCCCTCACAGTTAAAGTTGTGAGGTTACTGCACAAAGTGCTAGGACCATTCAACATGTTTTAAGGCAGACAACAGCATGGCTGATCTCCCAGTTCGGCTGTTAATTAATTAAATTTGATCATGTGCTATCAATTACATCTTATACCAAAGATGTTGTCTCTTTTTTTGTTATTGAATTTTTTTTGCATTCAATAACCATGTGAAAATTTACAAAACCAACTGTAGTTCTCAGACATACATTTCCAGATTATGTTTTTTTTTTATGTCTCCTAATTTAGATTTTCGAGCAACTGTCTTTTACCCAAGACACTACTCACAGAACACCATTCACATTTAGTGGGGCGGCCCCAGGTGCCACCTCAGTAGTGATTTATAACTGGAAAACATGTATGTAAACACAGTACAAAGCTTATTTACTAACACCAACTTTTCTAGGGAGAAATATAGTTTCTATAGAAGACCACAATAAATATATTTTTATATTTAGAAATACTGATGTAAACATTTGGTTTATTTGACATAATTTTACATTTTTAAAGCACCTCTCCCCAAAAGTTACGCTACATCTCCGAGAGAAAACTGATAAAATGTTGGCATTAAGATAAGCCATATGTAAAGGTTTTGCTCATTTATTACGTAGGTTTTTTTACCTTTAAGCCACAGATCTTCTCCTAGAGCATCTGCAAACGCTGCAGACCCCCGATCCCCAATCAGAGTGTTACAGCACATGCTGATTCTTCGAAGGCCAGCCATACAATCTAGGTCAGGTCTCCTGTACCGGAGGCTCTCAGCCCAGGCCTCGCTGTGCCGTCTGGTTGCCTGGTGCTTCGAAGACGTACAAGAGAATTTATTTTTTCTAAAGAATGTAAATGTGCATTTCACCAACAGTATTTCCCAAAAAATGAACAGCTCAACCAATAAATACTGACAATAAAGGAGTTACAGGAAAAAAACAACATGTACCACACAAGCCTCTTCAAGTGTTACGTTTTCCTTGTTGTCGCTTTAGTTAGTGCTGTCAAAGATAAGAATTTCACACTTAATCGATCGCAGATATCAACATTCTACTTTCATAATGTACTATGAAACATTAATTTCTGTGGGTTTTGATTAACCTATTATCAGTACTGCTACTAATGTAGCAAAAACAATCTTAATAAGGTTCAGCGGGGGAGCTGCATGCATTGTTTTCATAGGAACAAGTAATGTTTACTTCCATTGAAAATTATGAGGAAAACCACAATGTTTGAGATGTTGAGCCTTTATCAGGGGTGAAGAAAGATAATTTATCCTGAAATGTTGTTTCTAAATTACTATTATTCACACACACAACTACAGTACTAGTGTGGGTTTTTTGCAAGCCACTCAAATGTTAAAATTACCTACTTACATGTTTTCTTTTTTTATTTTATGTACTTTTTCTTATTTAAATGTGAAATGTACAATATCTTAATTTAAAATGAGATCTTTATACATGATTATCTGCAATGACAAATTTAATTTTTATCTGAATTAATTGAATTATTTAAACTATTTTCAGACTTTAAAAAAAGGCTGATTATTATGTTTTTAATTACAGGAAATTATTCTTAATCTGTATTATACAGAGAATACATCATATAAATGAATGTTGTAGGTATTGCAGGTATTTCTCAAATACTCTCTGTCACGGACGTCCAAAGGGACTAACCGTGGGGAGTAGGAGAGCAGAAAAAGACCCATATGCGTAGCGGCGAGACAGGAAAAAGGCCCGGGCTCATTAGTACAAAGAGTTCAGGAATGCCGTATAGAAACCAATGCCCTCAGGGAGCGGACGTGGGGCGCCCTGGTGCTAGGCGGGTCTCAGGACATCCGAACATCAATGCTGAGCGAGGACAGAGTGCAAGACCCGGAAATATATAGCCCAAGGGAAAGAGAGGGACAGGAAGGACAGCAGACCGGAAACTAGGGACAGGACAGAGAAGGAGCGCCCTCTGGCTGCAGAGGGCGTGACACTCTCCTCTTCTTCACTAGAGAACCATTAATGAGTACAGCATTACTGTGCTAATTAACAAATTTTGCCTATTTACTCAAAAACATCATATTAACCTCAGCACATCAATCACTCATTCCATTTTAATTTAAAGATTCAAAAGTGATCTAAAGTGTTTCTGCCTTTACAAAAGCTAAGATACTCATTTTAAAAATGAAAACAAAACGTCATCGTGCATATGCAGTTCACTCACAATACCCGAATGACGTATTTTGCTTTCAGGAAATGTCCTTTTAGATACTTTTAAACATCCTTTTTTCAAAAATATTTCTTATGCTTGACTTTCTGGAATGCAGGTAAGTGCAACAATGCCATTTTTGTAATTATTACCACATTTTCACTCAAATTTCTCTCAACAGCAAATTCAGAGACTGACATTTTTCCATGTTAGAAATAATCAGGTAACAAAACTAAAATATTTCACCACAATATCTGCATTGCCAGAGAAACTGTCAAATTCTTTTGTATTTTCTTGATAGGAACATGACTTTACGCAGAACATTCTCTTCCCGTTATGTTAGGAAGATCAGCAAATTAGCAAATTACCTTGATAATATTTGCCATGTGTTCTGCTCCTCGCCATGTCAGGTTACAGCCTGTAAAATTAACTGTCTTGATTGTAGAGGAGTTCTTCACACTCTGGCAGATAACTTTACAAAACAGGTGTAAATTCAAATGAGGACACAAGAGGAATAAACAAAATAGTTCATTCTCCAGAGATATATCTACTATTAAAATGTGACACAAAATACACAAAAACACAACTGCGTAATCCATAATGGCTTTATTTACCTTCCAGCCCTTCATCCGCTATAGGGCAGTATGCCAATGAAAGGTTCTCCAAAGACACAGTTTTTGCTAAACCCTAGAGACAATAAGCACAAAAGAAGCAATCAAGCTCACGTCACTTTCACTCATCATTTCTGAAATGAAACAAGATAACTTTTACTTTACCTTCGTGAGAACAACTAAATCTCTTTCTCGCAATGGAAGCCCTTGCAGCTCCAGGGATTTAAGGGCATGCGAAACACTCAGGCAGTCTCGCACCGATTTGCACAATCGAAATGTCATATCCTTGGAACGGAAAGCTGGGATTCTTTTCCTGTAGGTTGATCTATATCTTTCTGACAAATACATAAGTGCGATTAGTGTACTATTGAAAGGTTCCTATATACCAACTACTGCATTTCACAGCCCATTTAAAGTAAGGTTTGGGTAGAAATTTTAGGAAACTTTAGTCACGCAGTCCTTATTACAAAGAGTTAGAATTTGGATTTTAATCCTCAATGATTTACTTTTCTTCATGTCCCATCCACTGTTTTAACTATCTGAATAAAGTGGCAGTGACCAAGAATAATATTCACACAAACACTACAAACCTCCTTCACTAAGACCTGGTTGATAACAGCTTCTAACTGCAACATGATGTAAATGTTTGTTGATAGCAAGAGAATTTAAAATGGGAGTCCAGTCAGCCAGCTTGATGCGATCTCCGTTGATATCTAGCACACCCTGGCATAGGTTTGCCCTGACAGCTGGCAGTGGAACCAAGTCCTGCAGAGTACAGGCATACTCGTAATATGACTCAAAGTCTACAGCTCCTCGGCGCCGGATTTGGACAGTATCTATCATTGTGGACCTGAAAAAAACAAAACAAAAATGATTCCACAAATGTTTCCTGTGAACGATTTCAAATCATTGCTGCTGTACATAGACCCTGTACTCCTTTTCTGGGAAGGTTAGTAGGGAATTATGACACAAACAATAACACATCTACTATATTGTAGTTTAGTCTGTTTCATGTTTTTAAACACATCAGGATCTCAATCCAACAGCATGTACCTGGTATTTCAAGTTCTGAAATTAATGTGACTGATGTGTGCAGTGAGAAATTATACTGAATATTACCAATACTATTATATTTCAGCAATATTATATCATATTGCGTCGTCAAGTGCAAACATGCCGTTTCAGTAAACGTTATCAGTGTGTCTTAATTTGTTTTCTTTGTACCTTATTCCTATTACCTTTCGTTTTTATGAGAATCGAGATTTGATCCAAGAATTCAGTAAATTAGTGATGAAAACTGTTGAGGGACTCGTCAAAAGTCAATCTAAATACCCAATATGCAGTACATCAGTGCTTTATCATGCAAAAGCAAACTAATAATAAAACTTTAAATAATATTCAAAATGACGCTGTATTTCCCTTTTCACCTATATTTTAGTACTTACAGCATCATCATCATCTACTACACCTATGAGTTATTAATTTTAAATACAGTAGTTATATAACAGTAAGTGTTTTATGGATGGTTATTGAATATCATTTTTTGGCAGAAGAGGCACACAAAGGTACTCGGAGGCAAAATGATTTTAACGTTTCAAATGGAATAATCCCACCAACTGTCCTCCGGCTTCACTCCATCTACAGTACTCGCAAACATTCAGGCTTTTATTTAAACCCGAGCTCCAAAAAGTCATCTTCATCTGCGCCACGAAATTCTAGTTTAGTTATCCTTTAATTACGCGCATCACCGACCACAAGCCTCATACAGTACCAATTGTTTTGGATAGACCATGAGTTACAATAAAACGAACACGATTATTAATAAAAAAGGAGAATAAACCCGATCACCGTGACTCTACCGTTTGCCTGCCTGCTCCCCAGAGGAGGTGTGCAATCTCCCTGGTCCAAGCAACCTTTGCGTTCCCTTGGTTTCCTAACCGTCTACCCGCCTCACCCCACAACTCCTCCTGCCGCTGCTGTTTGAAAATGGCCACTCGGCCCGGCCCCCGAGTTCCCAGCGCCCTCCGCGGCCTCCCCACGCTGGGAGGGCCGTGCTCTGTTTACACGCACGCCGCCTGCGGCGAGACCAGCGAGCCAGAGAGGATTTTGAATTGTAAATTGCTTTTCGTTAAGTGCGATGTGTAGGCTGCTTTTTATATAAATTTGCCTCGTATCAAAATTAACCCAATAAAAGTGGATGAATGCGAATATCATGAAGTGATTTTAAAAATGTAGGCAATGTGAAACATTGTACACAAGAAGAAAGCTCTTTGTATACCAGAAGAAAGCTCTTACGGGTGTCATTTTACTTATATTCAGTGGAGGATTTTAAGACTGGAAAATGATGGTGGCATTATGTAACTTTTTGCTGATTTTTGTGCTGAGATGAAGTGGTGATCAAGTTCTGTCAGCCAGAATTTTAATTAAAACGAAACAATTTAATAAAAATACAACATACTCTGTATAAAACACTTTTAATACTGTTTAATATATGCACTGATTGAAATACCATTGCACAAGTTGTTTTCTAAGATTAGTTTTGTGTATTTTCTGCTACAAAGTGTAATTCATACTGTAACGACAATACTATTCGTGTTCAGAAAGTCACCATAAACTATTCCGGAGAAGGAAACCGAGGGAACCCTGGCGTTTTCATAGGTTATAGCTGGTAAAATATTTCCAAAATCCGATGAGTTCTTTGACACTGCAAAATGTCTTTATATAAAATACTGTACTTTAAACAATGTTTTCAAGTTGCAAAACGGTGGTTTCTTTCAAGTGTAAAAAATATACGGGTAGGGTTGCAAGTTCAGTTCAAGTATTAATTTGGTCATCACGTAAAATGAGATTTGAGGATTGTGTTGTGCTATTTTTCAGGTTCTGGCACAGGAGTTCTGACTGTAGGTGGGTATCCTTCCACTCCCCCCTCACCTGTCTGACTGGAGAGAGATCAGTGCCATGAGCCACATGTCAATAATGGGAAAGCAGCTCATCCAGGCAGGCAGGATGCCTCTTGGCACATGATTGTCTGTCTAACACTCAACAGCATTTTAGACAGTGTCCTGTTGTCTGCGTTTTAATAATAATAATTCCTTGCACTTACTGTATATAGCACTTTTCTGGGCACTCCACTCAAAGCACTTTAGAGGTAATGGGGACTCCCCTCCACCACCAGCTATGTGCAGCCCCATCTGCAGCAGTATGCTCACCACACATCAGCTATCAGTGGGGAGGAGAACAGAGTAATGAAGCCATGGAGGAGGAGCCAGTAGGAGGCCATGATTAGTGAAGGCCAATGGGAAATTTGGCCAGGATAAAACCCCTACTCTTTTCGAGAAACACCATGGGACCACAGAGAGGCAGGATCTCACTTTTACATCTCATCTGAAGGATGGCACCTTTATTCCATCACTATACTGGGGTATTAGGACCCACACAGACTGCATGGTGAGAACCCCCTACTGGCCCCATTTTCCCGAAAAACTGAGGTGAGCAACCTTAGTTTTTCCTAGGAGGTCTCCCATCCAGGTACTGAGCAGGCTCACACTTGTTTACCTTTGGTGGGTTGCCAGTTGTCAGTTGCAGGGTGATATGGCTGCTACTCCTAGTTTCTACTTCACCTATAAAAATACAACCTAACTTTGGCAACTGCAGTTTGTTTCTTTGTTTCACCCTTATAATGAGGTCACATACTAATTTCTGCTATATCCATTAATTTCTCTTCTCTGTTTTTGGGTTTGTAGCGTTTGTATCAATTTTGCTTGAATCATCCATTTCTGCTGCCTGCATGTTAATACTGTACAGACTGCAGACGTAATGTATAAGTATCTACATCTGTACATACATTATGAAGGCTCCACGGCCGAAACGTTGTGTTCTCTTTCTTCTTTTTTTCAGCATGGAATAAACCTATTACTTGTTCCTTTGCAGCCTACGCATGCTGACGCAGCTACCCACCTGAACTACATTATCTATGTCAATTATATGTAAATATTTATAGTATATGTATCTGTGAATACGCACTGCATACATGTACATAAAAAAAGAAGAAATGAAAAGTATTCTAAATGCAGTTGTGATCAGAACATAGAGGTGTGAATTAAACCTGATAGACGTGGCACTCTAGTGTGTTTTTCTCTTTGTCTTTCTAGACATCACAATAGATCTGTCCCCACTACCATTATGTTTTTTTTATTTTTGGTTACAACAAAAACTAAGTGGAAAAAATACATGTACACCCAAATACATTTGGAAGCTTAAAGTGTTTAATCGGAATTAGGTGGGTCGTCCATGATCTGTTCAAAATTTATTTCTTGGCTTTTCATCTTGTTTCAGCCTGTGTTGGCATATATCTCTCTACATTTTGTTCCCTAGATGAAATATCTAGGACAAGACACTTGGGCCTCATACTAAATTCCAGATTCATGACTGTATATGGTAATTTAAACTGTAAGTGTTCAATCTTTTAGTCTGATAAACTCAATTATAACTTTTTCAATTATGACCTGAACAATGCTGAAAATACAACAGATACAGTAGGTTTACTAAAAAAAAGCCCAAAGGCATTAAAGTAAAACTCAGTTGAAACATTTCGATATTTGGTATTGGGACATTTAAAGTGTATTGTTCTAAAAATGATTTAAATCATCATTATGTAAGTCCAGCAGATACCCTTTACCTTTGGTTTCAATGTGTTTCATTGTAGAACCTATTGATAATGGTGGCAAACCTACTGGCTAACTCTAATTAGCGATTTGCTGAAAAAATCCAAACTTATACAAAGTGTAATCCATCTAATAGTTGACAGGCTTAAGAGGGACTGACCTATAAAGTAAAACAATTTTAAATAAATTTGTATCTATGTACAGTATGAGTGTAGTCACTGTTATACTGTATATCCAATGCTTTAGATCACTTAAATGGACTGCACTACTGGAGTCAATAATGTATTAAAACTGTAATCCCCCTGTTATAGAACAATCCCCATGAGTATGAGATCATTTCAAGGCTGTGCCAGGCTAGGGTAGCTAGAAACCAATACATCACCAGGGTCTGATGCTATTTACCCACTCATTTGATGTTATTCATATACCTCTTACCTCTTAGCATGGATACTTTAACTCATTTAGATTGGGAGCAGTACCCAAGGACTGAAGAATTGCAGTTGTAATGCCAATTTATAAAAAGGGGGCACAGATATGTGTCAAGAAACTACAGATTTTTTGGCATGTATCTGTGCCCCATTTTGTAAATTGTTCATGTAGATGATTCATAGAGACTGAGCCTTACTCCAGCTACGGCTAAAGCCTTTGAAATGATAGATCTAAATGAAAAGATTACACCAAACACAATGGACAGGGAGACAGCCAGCATGGGTTGAGAAAGAAAAGGCTTGTTTAACTTAGCTAACAAGGACAGTAGATAAAACTAAAGGATTAGATGTTTAAACTTCTGGAAAGCTTTTAAATATGGACCTTCATGAAATATTTATTCTAAAATTAAAAGCCAAAGGAATCCAGGCTAATGTGTGCTCATGGCACAACTTCTAATTGGGCCAATGTAAGCAGTGATGCACCGCAGAGATTTGTTTTGGGCCTGTCTGATTTACATCAGTGGTTTAGATTGTGATACAGTTAGCAAACTGTTTAAATTTACAGATTGTACAAAAACAAGGGGAGAGGTAAGCACTGAAATCTCTTCAAGAAACTAATAAAAATATCGGACAGTACGCTGATATACGCCAAATTAAAGTTTGCATTGAAAAGTGAAAAGTGTTCTACACTGGTAGCTGGAACATAAGATATAGATATTGCAGTAGTGATACAAAGCTACGAGAAGCTAAAAAGGATCTGGATGTGTAGACTCTTCTTATGGTCTCATCACTGTGAGGAAACAAAACAGAAACAGAATAGCAAAATGAGTGTGATTTACAGCGTATCCAGGGAAGATATGCTCAGGCTTCAAAGGTCACTTGTAAGACTACTCTAGAATATTTTGTTCAGTTTTGGTAAGCATACTGCAAAAATGATTTTATAGTCTTCAAGAATACAAAGGAGAGCAACAAGAATGCTCAATTTCTCTGTGAAACATTATGATCCGTAGGAAAATGTGTAAAAATGTTAAATTAGAATATACATCTGATACCATTTTCTTCCCCGTTGAAAGTGACCAATGTCATCTCGTTATTACAACATACCCATTAGATAAGGAAACTGAATCTAAAAATGTCATAAAATCTTACTCCTTGTTTTTAACTTCCTAAATGTCTGATGTTGCACACTTAATTTTTTTTCATTGACTGATCCTTTCTCAATCTGCCTACATATATTCCTCATTTTGTCCTTTTGTCGGTAAAATGCACATCGGTTAGATATGACCACAAAAAGTGCAGACTTAAACTTTTAGTGGGAGTGTACCGAAGGATAGTCTCAGTATCGACTCCTGATTTGTGAAACAAGAAATGAAATGCATTTTTCATCCACTAGGTGGCAAAGCAAAAATCAAGATTGCCGTGCAATGATACAGTACATATGATAGTGATTCATTCTTCACAATTCATTGCAAAATATTTTCACCAGTGTCAAGTTTCACACTGAAAACATAATGATTCTTTTATATGTGTGTATGTTCTCATTTGATGTAGTCTTGATTAATTATTATGTTTAAAATATTGATTAAATCTTTTAGACTGGATTACTGCATTTCGTTTGTGCAATGGTACAGTATGGAGCCTAATATTTAGTTAATAAGCTATAGGCAGCAATACAAAAATATTGTTTATAATACTCCCCAAACAAACAGCTATTAAAATTGTTGTTGTGTGCTTGTTGAACAATATATACCAACAAAAAATACCAACAAAAAAAAAACATATTATAACCACATCGTAACATATTGAAATCAAGACAAATCGTTCACCACTAGGAACACATCTGGGGGGATATTACATCTGTTGCAATAATTCGAACGTTATTATTGATTTTAAATTATT